TGACCTGAAGCCCAAGGTCTCACTAAATATGTTTGGAGAGCTGATTAACATGTGGATCTACACAACTACCAGATTACCAGAAGTTTTACTTTTCATGCTAAAGTGTACTATGTGAAGTAAGTTACACTGTGACTGGGCTAGCCCTGTTAACTAAGCAGTTAACTGTCAGATGATTCAAGTTTATTTACACCGATCAGGCATAACATTATGACCTTACATTATGACCTATATATCCTTGTTTCTATGCTCATTGTCCATTTTATCAGCTCCACTTACTATATAGGAGCACTTTGTAGTTCTACAGTTACAGACTGTAGTCCATCTGTTTCTTCGCATACTTTGTTAGCCCCCTTTTACCCTGTTCTTCAGTGGTCAGGACCCCCATGGACCCTCACAGAGCAGGTACTATTTGGGTAGTGGATCATTCTCAGTAACACTGATGTGGTGGTGTGTTAGTGTGTGTTGTGCTGGTGTAAGTGGATCAGACACAGCAGTGCTGCTGGAGTTTTTAAACACTGTGTCCACTCACTGTCCACTCTATTAGACACTCCTACCTTGTCAGTCCACAGACGATAGCTCATCTGCTGTTGCACAGTTTGTGTTGGTCATCCTCTAGGCCTTCATCAGTGGTCACAAGACGCTGCCCACAGGACACTGTTGGCTGGACATTTTTGGTTGGTGGACTATTCTCAGTCCAGCAGTGACACTGAGGTGTTTAAACACTTTAGCAGCACTGCTGTGTCTGATCTACTCAGACCAGCACAACACACACTAACACACCACCACCACATCAGAGTTAATGCAGTGCTGAGAATAATCCACCACCCAAATAGTACCTGCTCTATGGGGGTCCATGGGGGTCCTGACTACTGAACAGGGTAAAAGGGGGCTAACAAAGTATGCAGAGAAACAGATGGACTACAGTCTGTAACTGTAGAACTACAAAGTGCTCCTATATAGTAAGTGGAGCTGATAAAATGGACAGTGAGCGTAGAAACAAGAAGGTGGTTATAATGTTATGCCTGATCGGTGTATCTGTCCTTGAAAGACTTTAGATTGACTGCCTCTTCTACATAAATTTTGTGGGTGATTAAAATTGTGCAGTACAGTAACAGTCTCATTAGTTTGCTAACTAGCCAGACAAACAGCATTTGCTAAAAGTCTACCTGCCAGTGGACCAGACCAAAACTGAGCGAAATGCGCCATTAACTGAGTTAAATCAAAGAGTGTATGAATCCTCTCTGGTTAAATATGCTAGTGGATGAAACAAAAGACATTTGTAAACTGTATATGGGCTTAGAGTGATTTGAAAATCTTAAAAGAACAGACATGTCATCACCCTTTACATTTGTTTCAATTTTAAGCATGACAAGCCTGAAAAAACTGGAATAAAACATCTCTTTAGGCTGTCACACTGTACGTAAGTATTAAGAATGAAGCCTGCCAATATGGCGGAACGATACCATAATGCAGTGCAATGTGACATACATTACAAAGCTTATAAAAAGGACTTGTCCTTAAATAACTTGTGACACGACTCTTCAGTGTTTGGGAAAAAATTATAAGAGAATAAGACTCTAAATATTTGAAAAATACATTTCTATACTTACACGTATTCTTTATCAAAGCTTTCAGTTACTAAAACTTCAGCTGAATTAGCTGTTATGCTAGCTAGCTAGCACATATGCTATACAGACCATTCAACCATTTCAAGTTGTTCAGTGTCTTTGCTTTAAATGCAGGTTTCACTGCATGTAGTGCTTCAGTTTTGTCTTTCAGACTCATGTTTTTTTTCTACAATGAAAGGTTCAATATTTGAAACTGTGTTGAAGCTGACAGGTTTTTAGTTGTGTTTACTTTTGTACAGTGCAGTCCCTGTTGAAAAAAATAACAGACAGACAGAGAAAAATTCTGTGCTGGTCTAAACTGGTTTATGCTGGTCTAGTGCTGATTTGGTGCTGGTTTAGCTGGTGACCCAGCATGGTCATACTGATTGACCAGCATGCTGACATCCAAAACACAACATAAACTGAATTTGCTGGTGACTAGCCATGCTGGTCTATGCTGCTTTTTCTAGCAGGGGTGTGTGGAGCTAAAAGTCTCACTACTAAAGACTCGAGTCTCGACTCTGACTCTCACCACAGAGACTCAAGAGTGGACTTGGACTTGGATGAAGCAGCTTGTCGCTGTTGTCAGAAGAAAACCTTGTATCTCCAAAATGATAACTTTAAAGGAGAAGGAAAAAACCTACTTTACTTTTAATGTAAGTCAATGGAACCAGACTTTTCTTTCCCAGTAATTTTGGGTCATTTCTTTTGGTCCATTCTTCGTGAAATTTACATACAATGTAAAGAGCAACAGGCATTTTCAAAATATCTCAAAAACTGAAAAACGACAAAAATGGAGATACGAGGTTTTCTTCCGACAGCAGTGTTAGCTAACCAGCTAACATTACTGTGAGGGTGAGCAGTACCGTTAGCAGCAGCTCATGGGCTTGTTTTTTTTTTCATTATGTGAAATATATTATAATATATTGGTTTATTGTATTAATGTATTTCAAACACTGTGTGAAGTAGAAAAAAATGTTCATTTTCTTATCATAATGTATTTTGTAAATACTTTTTAGATGTATTTATTCTCTGTATGGGGATCTAGCAGCCTGAAATCACAGTGTATAGCAGCTATACTGACCAGAAAAGTTAGCCAGGTAGGGAACCTAAAACTTGGTATCTCTGGCTAGGCCATAAGTGGAGTTCGGGCTTTATAGAGAGAAAAAATGTTTATTACTATTTTTTATGCACTCAATGCAGACACTGACAGCAAACACTGAGACTAACATTACATTTAAAACATTTCACATTGCACTTTTGCTTTATATAATGTAACAAATTACTGCCATTATTCCAAATATAATACTGTAGTCCATGTTTATACATAATAGTGTGTTATACAGTATCAGAAACCACATATGCAAGTCTGTTAGAGATACTGAACAGCTCCACACAGTTTGAGGCAGCTGTGTGATGATTTAGACATGCAGTTAGCACCATGAAAATTGGTGGAGTATGAGCATTACTTGCCATTACTTGTTAGCTACATCAGCACACTTGTTAGCTGCAACCCAGCTTGGGAGTGTTCTCTTGCTCTTGCTAAGGTGATGAGGGAGGGGAAGGGCATCAGGAAGTGAAGGTTATGACACACAAAATAGCACTGAGTGATTGATGGGCGTCTGCAGAGCAGCCGTTCGTTGTACCTGTCATCGTTTAATTGCCCCATTAAGGCTGATCCATATTCCGTGCCTGTGTCTGAGGGTGTTGAGGCTGCTGGATTGAGACTGCAAACGTCACATTGGTCATTAGCACATACGGTTCACAAGAACACAGGCCATATCGTTGGCCTCCGGGGCATATCGGAAGTATTCCAGTCAGCATAATTCTCATTTTCACTGCTCCTTGTCCGTCTTGATTACACTGATAATATGGATGAATTGTTTGATTTTCGTTTGCCATTCACTAATAAATTCAAATAGCGATGAAATTTTAGTAGCACATAGTGAGTTTATTTGAATTATTTGGAGATGGTGATGAGATACAGCTGAACACAGATAACAACACAGCAACCACAGGAACTTTTTATGTAGTGTGCTGACCAGTTAGGTTGTGGAAAAATGGACGAGAGGGAGATAATTCTGTTGGTTAAAAAATGTACGTTTTTAAAAACATTTTAGGCCTCTTTAGGGGACAGAACTAACCTAGAACTGCTACCAGGGGGGGAAGCATCAAATTGTGAATATTTCAACACTGCTGTCCATATTTTTGAACGCTCTTCAGCTCCTGGCTTTCTAACAGTTCTTCATGTACAGTCATATTGTCAGTGAATGTGAACCTCTTTACTTAGCCAGTGAGCATTTTCTCATGAAAGCTCCATTTACCCCCCATATATTTAAGAATCGCTCATGGACGCCCTCTAGCATTTTGACAGTGTGTGATTGTTTTGATAGGCATCTGAAGTCATGGTGTCATTGCCCATTTAAGGAACTCTTGCGTCTGTCATTTTTCTCTATGGGGGAAAATGAAAGACGTCCTTGAAAATTGCAGCTTTAGGCTTCTACAGGGGGCAGAACTAACCTATAACTGCTGCCAGGGACATAGCACCAAATTTTGGGCCCCGGGTGCAGTAGTGTGACCAGCGCCCCCCCCACTCACAAGAAAACAAAGGAAAGGGGAAAAACATAGTTCATTTATTTATTATGCTGTATTTCTTTTATGAAGTTGGATGATATGCATTTAAGGGTTAAACCGCTGATGGTCAGTAAGGTAAATTTGCTTTGAATCATGAATCTTCCAGCAGTTCAGTAAGAGTCAGAATAAAGTTTATTTCCTGTTCAAGAGTAATCTTAGGGATATTTGTAGGAAAGGAAGGAAAGAAGGAAAACATTTACTGTCGATTTTGCTGAAACTGCTCAGTAAATGGTTTCTAGGATGTTGGAAAACATATTAGCTGACCTGCCTACTTTAGTGTCTCATGTATTCAGTGGCATCAGAAGAAAGTCACATTCCCAGTCCTGTTGGACAATAAAGTTGTATTCCAGTACATTAACATCAGTTTTTCTTACTGGGCCTTTAAAACGAATACAGTCATGCACAAAAGTTTGAAAACTACTAGTAAAAAAAAGGAAACATGCAAATAAGTTAACACATCTGCTACAAGAAAACTAAATGTAAATATATCATTTTTCTGCTAATTGTAGTGCCCAATTCAGCTTATTTGTTGAGATAAACAAATTGAAAAAAAAATAAAGGTATGGTAATTATGCATTATAATATGTGGAAGTGTTTTCTCTGTAGAGAATTTTCACTTAGAAAAACAACAAAAACATACTTTGACCATTTGCATATGTAAATGAGCTCTGTTCTGATTGGCTGACCTGTAGTGCACCTCGTTAAAAAAATCATGCATTCACGCATATGTGTTCATGGTTGTTTTCCCTGTTTTTCCAGGTCATGGCATGATCGTGGATGGAGGATCACAGAATCATGAACACTGGGGGAGGAGACTGATGGCCTCCAGAGCGGACAATGACACAGAGGAGAAAAACTGCACTGAGCCCGGTAGGAGAGGGGAGGTCTTTACTATGTCATGCTAAAATTTCTCAAAATTACAGTCTAGATGACTTGTCATGGAGAATTTGTAGTGAGGAGATCTGCCACTCAGTAGTGTTTTCCGAATTGGTCAGACTCTAGAGGGCGCTCCTGAGAGAAGGTCCAAAAAAAATGGGTTCCTGTGGAGCTTTTGTGCAAAACTGTAGTGTGAATGGTTCATCATTTTTATACAGACACATGGACTTGTTTTCTCAACACAGAACAGCATAAATATTTCAACGCTGCTGTAAGTGTTTTTGAACCCTCTTCAGCTCCAGGCTTTCTAACAGCACCTCATGTACATTCATGATGTCAGTGAATGTGAACCTCTTTACTCAGCCAGTGAGCATTTCCTCATGAAAGCCTATAAATGTATTTAACGGTCATTTATATTTTTAGCCATTTAGCTCTATTCACCTCCACTGCGTTCACAAATCGCTCATGGGTGCCCTCTGGCATTTTGACGTTGTGTGATGTTTTTGGTGTAATACACCTCTGAAGTCGTGGTGTCATTGCCCATTTTAGGAACTCTGAGTCATTTTTCTCTATGAGAAAAATGAAAGATGTCCTTGAAAATTGCAGCTTTTGCGCCAGATTGTAAACAAACATGCAAGCTAATGCTTGTGTGTGGTGACTTGACATCATAAAACTGGCAGCCTCACCAACATCCCCCACAAAAACCAGCAAACTTTTTGAAATATGGTTGTCAGTTGGCTGTACTGGTTTTAGGCCCAATCCCATTTCTTATTTTGACCCCTACCCATTGTTTTTCGAGTGTCACCTTGCCTCTTGGAATGGAGTTACAAGTAGTAGTGGTTGAAATCTTCCCCTACGTACTGGAACAACCCTCAAATAAAAAGAACATTACTTCATTAACAGGCTATTAATGGTGCTCTGTAGGCGACCCTGCTATTCTGCAGTGACAGCAGAGGAGGGTAAAGTTCAGCAACCTCACTGCTGGGCTTCAGTTACCTTCAGGGAATCATATGCCTTCAAAGAGGGGGGATGACAATTATTCATTATCACCCACCCCTAATTCTTGAGTGATATGAAGCTAAAGTCACCTATTCTCCAGCCTCTCTCCCATTTAAGGTGGAACATGAAATATATCTAGCTGGCTACCAAGACATCAGCATATTAGTATAACTATTTTTATGCTTATTTTGAAGAAAAGGATCATAATACATCGAAACGACATTAAAGATAATACAATGGTTATTGTAATTTTTAATGGAGAAAATACTTAAATTTGTGGGTTTCTTTGGTCACTTGCATAGCCGTCTTGCCGGTTTTTCTTTTTTGTCCTCATAACACTCTGTTTGGAGTGTGTTTCTGAAAAACCTCCATTTGGAGGGCCATGTAGCCCTAACACTTCACGCTGCCCCTCTATCTTAACAAAAATCAGGACACCCTACCCCTAGATGTGAATGCACAAAACAGAGGGCTAAATACTAAATGGTAGGAACAAGGGGTGTAATGGGATTGGGCCTTAGTCTTCAGATTGAATAGCTAGTGTTATATAATAGAGCTATTATAACATCTATATCTCTGTAAGCATAGTGTTCCTAAAATGCGCATAAGCCAACAATAGATGCATGACTTCAGGTCTTTGGGAAACTCCCCCTCTAGACACTGTTGAGATGCTGGCTGAGGCGCTTGGTTAGCGTGAGGGAGGTACATTTTGGTGTGAATAGGAAATCATAACACGTTTATCTTCTGTACTCTGACGTATTTGTGAGTGATACATGGTATCAGGGAGGGTCTCTGAGCTAGCTGAGTGTTTTCTTGCTATGATGGGTGGGGGAGTTGTGGGGGAGCTGGGGGAGGGGGAGTAAAAATGATCAGAATGCTGCAAAAAATTATTACTTGGCAAGTGAAAGCTTCTGAAATGCAGGCGACACAAGCCATCTTACATATCTTATTCTTATCGCTGCTGTCGGAACAAAACCTTGTATCTCCATTTTTGTCATAATTTGAAAACGCTTTACATTGTGTGAAAATTTTAGGTTGAATGAACCAAAAGAAACAGCCCAAAATGACATGGAAAAAAGTCTGGTTAAATTGACTTACATTAAAAGTAGAGTATGTTTTTTTCCTTCTACTGTAAAGTTACCATCTCAGACATACGAGGTTTTGTTCCGACAGCAGCGATGTATATCTTATGTTGCTTATTTCAAGTGTTATTTCTTGATACGAGCAAAATTGTCAGTCTTTGTCACACCCATAATCCATTATTTCCTCAGATAAGCAAAATTCTCTTCATTATTTCTCAAAACAAGTATAATCGTCACTAGATAAAATTACTTAAATAAGTAAAAATGTACAGAAATAGGTGCAATAATCTTGTATTATTACCACAATCTCATAATGAGAAATATTGGCTATATTGACTATATTTAAGTTGCTTTAACATACCAAGATATCATGTTTATGCAGTGTAGAAATAAGTTAAAACACTCTTATACAATTAAACAATTGTAACAACAATCTAATGATGAGAAATATTATATATATATATATATATATATATATAGACTGAACTTAGAAATAAAGATACTCCGCAGGTATATTTTTGTTCGTAAAGGTACAGACAGTGTAAATGTTCCCTAAAAGGTACAACAGTGTTTTTATGGCCTGATTGTGAACCTTAAATAAGTGTTTCCAGGTGAAAAGTTCGTATTTGTACCTTTTGATAACCCAATATTTTAAAACAGAACAATAAAATAAAAAGCCTGGAGACGAGACGGGGTGTGTGGAGTCAGTACAGCTTAGAAAATATCATTTCAATAGATAATGATACAATTATGTTCCCTGACTAAAGGTACTGAGAGGTACCTTTGAGGGTACTACCTCAGTGACAAGAGGGGTTCTGCCCCAGTGACAGTTTAGTACCTTTATTTCTGAGAGTGTATGAACTTGGTGGCTGCAATATAATTATATATCTATATGTATCTGTGTTGAGTCTGTTGTTAGTTTTGGGTAGGTGTTCTCTAACAGTGCGAGAAAAGATGACCACACTGTTGAGGGGAAACCGCACTGGACTGTGAGGAAAGCTGACCCTCTCTGCATGAGCTCAGATTGATTTAGTAATACATGCGTAACAGCAGCTGTGGCGTGGATCTGAGGGGACACATGGTGAGCGTGGTTCAAACTGAGGTAAAAGCATTTGGAGTAATTTGGAGTTAGTGACGCTGACCGTTATGCTTATGCGTACGTGAATGCATACGCCTCACGGCAGTACATTACAGGCTGTGCAGAGAAACAGGGGATTTTTCATTAGGACTGAAGTTTGTTTTGCTGCTTGTCAGGCCTTTCGCTGTTGCCTAAAGCTGCTGGCTTGTGAATTCGAACAGAAAGTTTCAGGCAGCCAGTTTGATGTGTCCTGCAGTAACTTCGCTGTGCTCTTGAAGCATTTTTAATCCAGCTTAAGTCCAGCCAGGAGACGGCTGATGTGCTGGCGCTCTTTTAGCCTCTCTGGAGTTACATCGATGTTAATTTGGGCTGCGGAAGCATTTGCATTGATTTCAGCTGCTTGCATTAGGGACGTTTTTAACTTTGCTGATATCATTTTCCAGTTTAAATCGTAGGCAAATTTGTTTTCTGAACCGTTTGAGAGTAAAGAGTTGATATGCTACATTTTTCTCGTTTATGTTTTCCCTCTGAGGTCCCCTTTTACTGTTTATGGTACAATATTATGCACAAAAAAAGGTTATTCATTTTTACATGACCATTTTCCAACCTCTAATTATCTCTTTGAATTAAACAGGCTGTTTTTGTTACTGTGCCTTTAAGACTGATATGCAATGAAGCACTGTTCAGAGGAGTCTAAGCTGAAACACTTCTTAGAACTTCAGTGTGAGTGGGTGGAGCTAAATTGCTGTAGGCTGAATAGATGGATACAGATATTTGTGATGATAATAATAATAATAATAATAATAAGAATAATAATGTGTTTTATTTATAGAGCATCTTTCATACACAAAGCAGCTCAAAGTTTTTTCAGTTGAAGAGTAAAATTAGTTAAAAACAAAAACACAACAAAGTAAAAATAGCAACAGAAAAACTAAAACTAAAAAATAAAAAATAAAATGAGGTAAAATGACAAGTAAATAAAATGAATGACAACAATATTTTAATTAATAACTAGTTTAAAAAGATACATTTTTAAGTGATTATTAAAAATGTGAACTAAATGTTTTGGTTTGTTAAGTAAATGTGTTTGGGTTGTGACATCACAAAAACAAGGACTTTAAAATAGGCTGTTTTTGCCACTTAATCTCCACATATTGACTGGAAAGTGAATATTTTTTAAACTTTAACAATGTTTACATACTACATTACATTATTTTATTTAAAGGGCCCATATGACGTCATAGAAAACTGATTTTCCTCATTTTTAAAGATTTTGACGTAGCAAATAAAAATTGTTAAAGTTTCCAAATGTACTGTCCACTTCTCAGTCCATTCAGTTCATAAATGGGAACTTAGCTAAAATTACAGCCAGTTTTAAATTCATTGTTTTTGTGATGTCATGAACATTAGTGCGTTTGTGTGCCCGCCAGTTCAGCCTACAGTAGTTTAGCCCACTGATGCTCGAGTTATACAGAATGTTTCAGCCTGTTTTTTCAACACAGTACAGAACAGCCAATCAGAACAGAGCTAATTTATTTATATCAGTCTTAAAGGTGCACCTGTTTAATTTTAGGGGGTAATAAGGTTGAAAAAAGGTCATGTAAAAGGTCATCTTTTTTGGGTACATAAATCCACACAAATGTCATAAAAGGACCTAAAAGGGAAAGAAAAATAAAATATAAGGAAGTGTAGGGTATAGACCTTTAAAAAAACAAGGAAAATAAGTAAGTTTTCCATGATGTGGATCCTTTAAAAGTGGAATTCAACAAATTCAACATTCAAATTCAATGTGAATTCAAAATAATCAAATACTAAGAAAGTCGTTTGAATTTATTGTA